ATTGTAACTTAAGAATTGAACCAGATCTGACTGCAAAAAAAAAAAAAAAAAGAAAAAAGAGGAATAACACACCTTGCATTACAAAAGTCGTGGTTTCAAGAAGATCGTTTCAATGGCAGCGCCAGCTCAAGCCATTTCTACTCCTTGGTGCTTGAGTAGGCCAAGAGCCAGAACTGGTTATGTGTTGGTTATGCAAGACACTTGCTAGTAACCATGCCTTTGTAGTCAACAGTTTTACAGTATTACCTTTTTCTCCCAAGCAATGCCCCCTCAAGGGCATTACCTAACAGTTAATTGAGAAAGAAAATTCCATGGGACACTCTGTTCATTCCATAGGAAATACAAGAATCTATCATATAGAATAAAGCCTGTCCAAAGAGACACCCCTGAAACAGGTGATGCCTTTGAAATGAGTGCCTACAAAAGGAAATAAATACTGTTTCTATTAAGACTATCTCATTAATTGTTATTCAWCTGGTTTCTTTAAATCACATTTAGTTCTTGCTTTCTGCTTATGGCACATGCCCTCAATTTGATAACTAACAGGTGCCGTGTGCCACAGTTCCAGAGATCAAAACTGAAAAAAAACCTTAAAAAATCATATGCAGGTGAACCACAAAAGCTGCAGAATGCARAGACCATAGAAATCCAAACCCAAATCAGTTTTATATTGTGTTTCTCTGACAGCCTACCCTGAGCTGCAGCTTGGCTGCAAAGAGCTGTTTACCACAAACACGGTAGGTCTGAGGTTGACCTGGGAGTGCTCCTTTGCACTGTGCACAGCTGAGTTCCAGCTTCCCCCTGCATTACACAGCTGGTTTGTCATGGGCTGTTTCAGAGCTGCTCAACATTCCGTGGACTGCAGCTCCTGAAGGTCCTTTATGGTGGAAAGCTCCTTACGGGCACATTCCTCACATTTCCAGCGGCACAGGCAACGCTCGGCACGTGCTGTGAGCTGATGGAAAGGGGAACAGAGGTGAGCCAGCCCTTCCATCTGCCTCACCTGCCATTGATTAACTTGGTTCTAGATATTCTTTCATTGACTGAGATGCGCTATCATTACACATCAGCCAGTAAAAGAAGGGGTTGTAATCAAAATTAAATTTAAATTACAAGCTACTAACCAATCAAAGCAAATGAAATGCTGCATTACACACTGTATGTCTGTTTCTTGACTGTCTGCAACCTTTGCAAGCCTCACTCCTGTGAGAAGGCAAAACACTGCGCTCCCACACTCTGAAAGATGCGACAATGCAGTCGCAGCTCAGTGAGAAACCACACACGTGTCCATCATGATCTGCCTTCCTGGACACCAGAACTAAACAGAAGCCTTCAAGTAATTGCAAATATTAACCAGCCTCATTGTAAAATGCCAGAGCAAAGGCACCAGAGCTCCCATACATAAAACTAAATTAATGATTCATAAGGCTACATAATTGACTATGCTAAGTCAAGAAATTATGTAGTTAAGGAAGCACATCCAGCCGTCCCCAGCCCTCTGATTTGCCATATGATTGCAGTGAGATAGGCATGCACTATTTCACAGGCTGTGCTGTCCAAAGGGCCATAATCTCAGATCTGGGGGGATATCTCTTTCAGGAACAGCGAGTCCCTGGACTCCCATTGGGAAAGCCTTCAAAGCAATCCCGCATGYAAAACCAGGGGCACGGTGCTGGGAAAGAGCAGCCCTGCTACAGCATGGAGAGGAACAACAGCCCTGTTACAGTATGTTTGAACAGGATAAAACTCTGTTGGCTATAAGGATTTCATCTCCTTAATTCTGGCACAGRCTCTCTGTCATTTTTCCTTTCAAAAAACAAATATTTCCTCCCCTAGAAGCCTGTATCACTCTGGTATCCTTTAATCCAAAACCTCTGCCTCGGGAGGAGTGCGAGCAGTGCCCTTGTGTTCCAGAGCTGGGTTTAGCCCTATCCCCATTCACTCACACCTTGCCACTCCTCACTCTCTGGGCTCTGCAGGAGCAGAGGCTGCAGCTCCCAGAACTGGAGTTTCAGTTTCACAGATCACAAAACACCCAGAAACTTTCCTTAAGCYGTAAGTGCTTTGCGAGGTCTCCAGTTCCCCTGCCATGCCCATGCGTCCCTGCAGCTTCAGAGCAATA